GTAACATGACCACTCATGTTTTATCCACAGTTACTCCAAACCACTTTTTTTATTTTGAAGCCGTCATGAGGCGCCGTGGCGAAACCTGAAACTACTGCTGCGCATGATACTCAACAAGTTGTTGCTAGGTAATCACAAGATATGCAACAGGTTGTTGCTAAGCAACCAAAGAGTGAGGGAGTTAGTTGATGCCACCGAGTGTGGCCGACAGGGTTGAGTGGCTAAAGCCTTTCTTTTCCTTACATCCCCCAGAATGCTGTGTGCTTCTCGATCAGAGTTCAATGAATAATCTATTGAAAGTTCTATCAGATGTAATGTTTATTGATATTAACCACAAGTTTATTGCTGCATGTATTGTTATTGACTTATTGTCCAGCCCTCCTCCAGCACATAGAAAACTCTGCTGCTCACCTGCTCACACACACTTGCTCCTGTGACCACATCACCCTGGATCTCCAGAAGCTCCTTTGGGTCCCTGTCTCTCAGCATATCCTCCTTCTTACCTACAGAGCCCTCCATAACCAGTCCCCATGCTACCTCACCAACCTGCTCCACCATTACACTCCTTCCCTCTGATGCTAACTTCCTGTTTCAGCACTCAGACCCCAGCGTTGGCCCTGGGGTGGCAGAGTTTTCTCCATGACAGCCTCTGGAAGTCTCTCCCTAAACACATGCACGACTGTACAAACCTATCAACATTCAAATCACATCTTATAACACACCTATTCTGAACAGCTTTTAATGTATGGTTAATGTCTTGCTTTATGCTTGTCTTGTATTTTTTTTTAATATAGGCATTAGATGTTTTCGTGTTAGTGTTCTGTTTGTAGTTTTGTTTTATTCCTGTAGCGAGATCTTAAGGGATTTTTTTTTTAGTAAATGCTATACAAATAAAATGTATTGTTATTACTATTATATCCTCTATGTGGCAAGAAGGATACATAGCAACTAGATCCTGGTAACATGACAATATGTGAAATGAGAAACTGTTGATTTGAACTGATTTCCTGTAGCAGCTGATACTTTTAGAAGTCCCTGAATGATAAGTTGTGAGTAGTGAGAGCACAGCCATATTGTCAGTTAGCAACAGTTTTGGCTCATTTTAAACATTGCAGTGGAGTAAGCAATGCCAGCTTCTCTGCTCTCCTTTACTTCCCTGTGTATGAAGTGGGATTCATCCTCAGCATGTCCCTCTGATCCTGTCATTTATGTAGCGCTGCAGCTGCCTCCCAAATCCCCCACTGCACTTTACCGAGGTAAACACCTTTGTACAACACAGAGCTCAAGGGTGTTTTTTGTTTGCACATTTATAAGCCTCCAACGAGTAAACCCACAGGATGCATGCTGGTAAATATCAGAGCAGTCTGCTGTCTTAGTTCAGCGCTCGTGTCATCTGTCCGCTGGAGGGAACGACGAGACTGCAGGCCAACAAAAGAGGAGGAGCAGAAGAGAAAGAAACAAGAAAAGGATAAATGAAAAGACCATAAAGGAGACACGGTGGTTGTGGATGATTGTGTGTCTCTGATGATTGGCAATATACTAATGAGGGAATGACAATATAACGTGATGTAAAGCTCAAAACGTCACATGGTCGTCCCCCACTGTTTAAAGTCAGCACAGGCTTCAGCCTTTAAGCCTTTTTAAGAGATTTTAAATGATAATAGAGTATTTTGCTGTGATATCATTTATCATTCAGTTCTAATATTCTCGCTCTTGAGATGTAAAGATAATTTAAAATAGGCTCTATAAGGACATTCTACAACATGAATAACTGATAACACTGAAGAGGTTTGTAGAGTTGTTTCTGCTCTGGTTGGAGTTCAGTCTTACCGTCTGTAACAGAGGCAACAATCTTTGTGATTGTGGCAATGAAATAAAAGCTGTAGTAGCTGTCACTCTGGATTTTGTAATGAACTTTATGGGTATCCAAAACTGTTTGTTAAAAAAGTAGTTATTACTATTTTATGGTCTTTACATTTCCAGTCAGGATTTATTCTTTCTTAGTTGTGGTTCCAAACAGTAAAACCTGGACCTCATACTCTCAGTAAATCTTTTTGTCTTGAATACTTCAGGCTCACACACAGAGAATTAGTCTTAGAACTGATTCTTTTTCAGTAGCACAACAGAGCAGATCCTCAGTCCGACCCCTTCGCCTTCAACACTGTTAGCACTTATCCCACACACGGAGATTTCCAAGGCTAAGTGACCTGCATCTTCTCAGCTTTGAATGACATAAGTACCAGAGTAGCCTTGGTTCCTCCAGCCGACCTGAACACACTTCTATAGCAGCTGATGGGAATGCAGGATGCTTCTATTCATCCATCAGAGCTCACAGGGAGTTTCTACCAACACACTCAGCCTGCATCTCCCAAGATAAAGACCTCTATTAAAAAATGAGTAATATCAGCTTATGGTGGGGTGGAGTTGTGGGAGTGTGGGGGAGTTTGACCTCGGTTTGGTCATATGCCACAGCGGGACACAAAAGGCTGCATTTGACTAGCGCCTCTGTTGCTGGGAGGTTGGTGCCACAGTTGACGGATGCTTTAGGCCGATGGAAGATGGGCTTCAGAGTCAGCCATCTCAGCCTTGTGATCTAATCTGTTACCCATCATGCCATCCTGGCTCACTAATGAAAAGGCAAGGTCCTATCCATCACAGACAGCTATGGTAAATGGAATTTTAACCCTGCCATGGCCTTATAGGTGTGAACTCCTCTGAACATGTGCAAAAAGGCCTGAATGATGGACGATGATTTCAGAAGAACTCACAGCAATGGCAAATGAATACAAAGTGAGGAACAACAATCTGCCAAGGCTCAGCTTCCTGTGTGAGGTCTTGGCAGTAAATGATCACGTGTTGTGCCTCTGTTTATGAGACGCAGCAATTTTAACTACAATGTCTTCATTATTGATCTTCAGCAACATGCTAAGGATGAGTCTCAAGGGCTGACGTCTGGATATGTGATTTATCTGTCAGGGTTAGCCTTGACTAACCCTGATAGAATGATTGTTTTTCAATAGAAACATCAGGATTCATTCAGGATAATGCAGCAGCTCCTTTCAGTTTGCTTAGTGACTAACATGTTGTTATACATCAGCTTGAAATTACAAAGTGTATTACTGTCATCACATGTCATGTCTACCTCACTCTGCCTTCTTTTATAGTAGCTGAAAAATGTACATTTGAAGCCAGAAGTTTACATACACCATGTACAAAAACACAGTCACCTTTTTTCACCTTTTGTTTCTTGAGTATTTCAAGACAATGTTCTTTACAAATGATGCCATCTATTTTATGAAGTGCACCAGTCCCTCATGCACAAGTCGCCCCACATGATGCTGCTACACTTCACAGTTCAGTTTGCATGGTAAAACATATCCACATTTTGGACCAAAACATATTAATCTCTGGGACACCAAACATGGGTATTATGATAGCTGGATATTCCCATCATGTCTCAACTTGCACATAATAGTCTGAACAGATGAACAAGGCATTCCACAGGATGAACCAGACTGGAGCAACTCAACAAATTCCTTCCTGATTTCTGCTGACTTTCCCCACAAAACACTGTGTTCCAGGTGTGGCGTGCTTCAGTCATGTGAGACTAGATAGATATTGCTGCTATGAGATTCTTACAGAGTGATAACCTGAAGGAACGGTATGACAGAAAACTGGTGTGTGTTTTTTTTTATTTGTTTTGAAAACCATGGCATATACTGATGTCTGTATCAGTGATGAAGGTATGGCTCCTAAAGGAGAGTGTGTGCAGAAAAGGAACCCTGAGCTTAGACCTGTCACAGGATGTGATGCAACATTAAACAGTTTGACTTTTTACTGCTGTTAGAAAGAGACCTGTCATGTGTAACACATGTCCAAGTTTGCTTTTGAGTAAAAACTGTTTGATGTGGTGGTCCCACTTACTTTAAAATGAAAGCAAACATGATTAATTAACAAATTAACAAATGCTTGGTACTTTTCAAAAATATTTCACTTTCTCTCAATGGTGACCACTGTGGTGGGAGTTCACCCCGCAGTCGGTTAGTAAGTCATTTCAGCCGCCTTGCCTGCTTGTGATGATCAGAAGACCCAACAGTCCCAACAAAAAATATTCCAAACCTGCAGCACACAGAGGATGACTCTGTCTATTTTTCTGAGCTGTGTGATCCTTGCTAGTTTGTGACATCTGCAGCTTGTTTATTAAGCCATGTCTGACACAATTACACTCTACATAACATGGCTGATTCGCTCCAAACCAGTAGATGAAAACACGTCTTATTTGTTTTTTATCCTTGCTGCACCATTTTAAAAATTTGTTCAACATTTGCATGTTAATTAGATGCAAACAAAACTCAAAGCTACTGCCATGTCCATGTAGGGAATGAAACCCCTTAGCTAGGTCTGAACTCCTGAGGCAAAGTTACAAAATCTGTTAAGAGTCCTATAAACACAAGCTCTGCTCTATTGCATTGATTTCTTATCTAAGCCACCAATAATTCTTAACTAAGGTTCAATTAAGATCTTTTACTTCTCTGCAGTTTCACTGAATTACAATGAAAGCATTCATTTGGAAGGCGAGAAGCTTTGGTCTTTAAGAACTCAATGTCACCTTGTCAAGTTCAGAAGTGGTGCGTCCCAGCGCAGCTAAACCAAAGTCCTTGGTTAATCTCCCAAACAGCGCCAGCAGCCTCTCTGTTTGATACTCCAAGGTTCTTCCTCTCTGTTCCCACCAGCACTCTGTGTCTGAGCTTAAATCCAACATTAGAGGCTCTGCAGAGCTCCCAGCAGGCATGTGCTGACTCTCTGAGCAACAATGGCAGCAAAAGACAAAACAGGCGGCACATGGTTTTCCAGACTGCTGTGACATTATGTGCACTGGCAGGAGAATACTTTGTTATTGTGAAAATTTATGAATAAAAACAGGCATCTTTGAAAGATTAAAAGAGCAATGATGTTCAGAGGGGCTACTTCACATGAAACTCCTTGGTGTGTTTCCTCAGGGCTTTTTCCGTCGAAGCATTCAGAAGAACATGGTGTACACGTGTCACCGGGACAAGAACTGCATCATCAACAAAGTGACAAGGAACCGCTGCCAGTACTGTCGCCTGCAGAAGTGCTTCGCTGTGGGAATGTCCAAAGAGTGTAAGTCTATAACGCAGCTGACTTTGTGACACAAGATTTTTTAAAGGTTTTTGACTTCTGGAAATTCCAGCACTCATTGTATGATGGTGTATATTTATGAAAACTAGCTTTGACTAGTTTATATCACAAATATTACTTGGAAGCAAAATTGAACCTTAAATATGATGGAAAATGGGAAGAGGAACTGTCGTGTGGAACCAGTATGTGATTTGATTATATATTATACCTGGCCCAAATTATGAACGCCCTTGGGTGTATGTGTGGACTAAAAAATGTTGCTAAAAAAAAAAAAAAAAAAATCCCATTTCATGTTCAGCTTCCTGGCAGACACCAGAAGGTTTTAGATTAAACCTTTGCTGGTATTGGAATTATTCATCATTTCATCCGCCTTGACAAGACTTCCAGGTCCATATGAAGAAAAACAGCCTCAGACAGAGGTGGGAGTAGCAAGGAATTGTGCCCTAGTAAGAGTAGCAGACCTTTAGCATATTTTTACTCAAGTACAGTAAAAATTGACAGGAAAGAACAAAGTACTGCGTAAAAAGATCACTAAAATACTGAACAATTACTCAGATTATACTTGGCTTAGAAGCAATGATGATAATTTGTGGAGTATTTTTAAGCAAGAAAAAAAAAAACAATACAAAGAATATTGTGCTGGTGTAAGTCACTCGCTATAACGGCTAACAGGCTATGTCCTACCCAGTAATATATATCAGTGAAGTCAAGTATGGCAACAAAAAAACTAACACAATGTCTCTTGTGGTGAAACATGAAATATGGTGATGGCAGAGTTTATATTGCATAAAGATATATATATATATATATATATATATATATATATATATATATATATATATATATATATATATAATTTTCCCTCTGCTTGTGTTTATCTATCTCACAAAATCCCAGTGAAATACATTAAAAATTTTTAGCCTAATGTGACAAAACATGTGGCTAAATGCAAATAATTTTATGCACATGCACCGTTAATGGAAGTAGGACAAGTAGATTTATTTGAATGATAATGTATCACTCATGCTGGTTTTGATGACATCCAGAATCTTTATGGGACAGCCTTTAGATCTGGCTGAAGCTTTCTGTTTGCTAGTGTGGTCTGAGATCTGCACACCAACAGTTTCTGGAGACATTAAACAGTATAAATACTGGGATGAATTCTGGTTTAATTTGATTTGGCTGACTCCAGTTGTGGGGTCCTGGTGTTGCTCAGACTGCCACACATTGAAGGCTGACTGAAAACAGCCACTGTGGATGTTTTTCTGAAGCTGACAATTAAAAATGTCTGCTGTGAAAAAGCAGCTAAAGATGTGTCCTCATGCATTAGAATGATGGGACGTTTCCCGCTGGATGGAAATAGACTCGGTACTGTTTAAAACACAAACACACACACAGATAAATGTGCTTCTGCTTATATACTGAGGAAAGAGAACAGGGTAATAAATGCAAATGAAGTGCAAAATGTTACGTAGCTTTTCATAGCAATGAAACAACACGTACAGTACACTTCAAATTATGTTCTATTTTTGAAGGTGGTGGCCTAGATTGGTTCTCTGGTTCTCCGTCATCCTGTCTTTTTGCACTGCAGTGACTGTATCAGATAAAATATCGAACAGTGAATGTGAGTGGATTACCAGCAGTATCAGTGCATCGCTATCAGTCTTACAGGTTCTGACTCCTGCAGGACTTCCACTCTAGCAGCAACACTCATGTTTCATTCAGTTCTGTTTTCATTCTGTCTGGTATTTCAACCAGCCTGGAGGAGTTGCATCAGCCACAGAGGATTGTTGGACATCCTGTTGGTTTCAGCTGAGAAAGTCAGACCCTGTGGACCAACGATGAACTTGTTCCACCGTTTCTCAGTCCTGATCCTGTGCATGTGTTAACTTGCAACAAAGCAAAGAGCTATATTTACAATGCAGCACAAACATGCCAGTCATTTGAGCAACATCTTCTATTTGTGCTTTATCTTGCAGTTGTCTTGGCACATAACTAAAGGTGACCTTTGACCCAAGATTGGCAGACACATCATGGGTTGAGTGAATAAGTAAAGTAAACTTTATGTGTCAGATTCAAGGTCACTCTGTGATCTGTATCAAAGGCAAATTGGAGTGAATTTATAATGAGCTGCTGTAGGTACACCAACTACTCAAAGTGTTTTATATGGGACAGACATTCAGGGGCGCTCACAACACACACACACATTCATACACACATACACTAGAGGTGTGTGATGCTGCATATTTTGGTATCTATCTGACGCCAAGTCAATTCAGAGCCTGTATCGCTGATACCAATACTGATACAGATACTTTTTCCTTAGACTTCAGGTCTGTAGATTTTGTTGTGAATTATTTTTGTTCAAAACTTGAACAGAATTTGGACAAAGTGTATAGCTGTCTACAAAATATTTTAATAATAACATATTAATATGGTTTGCATTTTTCTAAATAGAGTGCAAGTTGAGAAACTATGACACAACAATAAAACATTTCAAAAAGGAACCTTAAGCTAAAGTATTGATCATATATGCTAGTACTGATCCGATACTGATACTAACTTGGAATCAATATTATCAATATTTTAGATCAGTCTACTATTCACAAACCCCATGCTAACCAAATGATAGCATGAGTTTCACTGCCATGCTAATATTTGATAGCAGGAAGCTGGAATAAAACTCACAACCTTGCAATTCCTTTTTAACAACAGTAATAAAGTTGCTAGAACAATATTTAGAACATTTTTCCATCCTTGCTGAAAACATATACTGTACAATTGGAGCAGAGGTCACAACACTGCAGGAGAGCAAGCCGTCACTGTACAGTTTTCACTAATATTTTAAATGATTAAGGAGTTTATATTTCAAACTGTGTAGCATATTTTATTAGAATAAATGTTGTTTTAGGAATTTTTCTGTAAGTTCTTATACAAAATTCGCAGTTAATATCTGCAGCAGGCTTTTCAAAGTAACTAGCATTAAATTATCTTTCACTGTTTTCCATGTTTATAAAAAAATTACAATTTTTCTTTTGCAATGAATGATCCATTTTGTTCTAAAATCTGTAATTAGATAGATTTTAATTTATTTTGTTAGCTTTTAGTATATATTTAGAAAATCTTTTTTGCAGCTTTGAGGTAAGTTTTACTTTGTCTGGTCTAGCATCTGTCGCTATTAGCTTGCTTAATGCAGGTAGCTGCAAGCATCAGTTTAAATTCTACCCTTTATTAAAGGGTTGAGTTTTTTTTAATTAAGATTATTAGAAAAGTAAATACATCCTTCGAGTGGCAGCAGACTCACAAGCCAGAAAAATATATGCTCCATCAGTCCTCTTCATCAGACCCACAGGGTCATTCTACTTGTGAAAACACAAGTCCCCTATAGTAATTCTCTCTAAGTGTCTACTAGGTATTCTTGTGATCTTCACTATTTTCAGTCACTGTCAGATGCTAAAATCATGTACTTTCACATTTTATGTCACTCAAGATCAGCAAATCAAGTTATTCACAAACATTTTTACCGGTTTGCTTTTTGTACCTGAGTCCAAACAGGACAGACCGTCTGTGTCAGTCATTCTACTAATCTCTTTTTAAAAAGCTACAATTACACTAAATGTTAGATTTCTGTTTACAAACTAAACCCATGTGGACTTTAAAAGCTTCTTCTCATTTGAATTTGACACATTCTTAAAATTTGAATAAACTGTCAGTTTTCCTGTCAGTTCTGCTCCCTCTTCTATATTGTCATCTATTAAGAGAATGGCACCGTGACAACAGTTTGCATTTCACAGGTTATTGGCATCCTTTGATTGCATCAGCATTTATAGCTCAGACCCACTTCATGCTTCATTAGTCCTGGTGGGGGGTGTCACTCCTTTCATTTATGCTGTTTCACACCTCAGTGGCGGCATCATAGAAAAGATGATATCTATACATCCTCAGGCTAAACCTCCCACAGGGCCGCTGATGAGAAAGGAGACTTTTCTCCTTGACTGCTGTAGAAGATCAACACCAACTGGATGCCCACTTCAAGGCCTTCTTTCATTCGACTGTTTTTATCGCAAAGAGATCACCTCCAAAGCTGACTGTTAGTGTCTCCAGCAAAACTTTGTAACATTTCAAACACAGTCTGTGTTTCCTATGTGCTCTGTGTGCTCAAGGCCTGGCAGCAGTCATTGACAGAAGGGACAAATGAAATGTTGACAATTTCAAATTTTGATATGCTGATCCCAATCTCAGCTGACTTTGATTCTTTTACTACATAGATTCCAACATATTAAAATAATTAGATCAATTAATCACTTTTTTTTGTTCTTAATTTAACACCCAAACCCAAGCTACATCTGACCAATACAACATATCATAATACAGAAATGTGCAGAATCTCCTCGAAACTCTTTAATGGTCTGTACTTCAGTCTCTTCTATCGCACTTTCATCAGTAACAGAATCATTGGAACTTTGGTTTGTATTTTGTAGTTTAATCTTCAGTGTGTTGTCTGGGTTTAAAAGACTGAGGCCTTTATCCCTTTTTGGTTTTAAGAATGTGGTTTTCCTTGTGAACTGGATTCAATTTGTTTTCCTTGTTTCACATGTTTGAGTTTCCCAACTCTTTAGATATTTGCTTTCTACTCGCCCTTCTTCCAGCTGTGCCCTGTTGTTTTTGTTTCCCTGTGGATTTTCTTTTCCTTTCAGTATTCCCTCAGTTTTTTATTTATCTCCCTGCTTTCTATCATAGTTACCTTCCATTTTTTCATCCAAATGATTTTATTCTAATAGTCAGTCTCCACAGCATTTTAAGCCTCCAGTTTCATCTCCTTCTTGTCAGATTGTGTCTGTCTGGTCTTGTCCGTTACCCAGCTTTTGTTTCCTGCATGCAGCTTTGAATCATTTCATTCAGTTTGTGTTGTTACAAGTCTTTCTTAACTGTTTCCTTAAGATGTCATTCAGTGTAAATAATTAGTTCTCAGTGGACCCACC